AACTTTATTTAATACAACATTTACGGTACAAGATTTACATCATACAGCCCATGTATAATATTTGACAAATGATGAATTACAGCAAACATGTGCAATATCCATTATTACAGCTCCGTGGCCTCACTGGCAGTAAGGCGATATGGGTCCGTTCTTAGTGTGCATCCATGGGTAAAGATAAACGCATGTATTGCTGAACACGTAACATGAACGTGCCGGGCGGCGCAGTCCTGTGGGTTAGATGTGCGTTCATAATGCAGAGGGAAATAACTCTCAGAATAACGTTATTAGCACATTTTTACAACTTGAGGAACGAATGTTTTTAATAAGGGCTATACAAGTGTTCATACTGGGTTGTTTATTTAGTTTAAAAAAAATTATCCGACGAGTTACAGACCACTCTTTCCCCATGTAAGTCAATGGGAAAAAGTGTTTCCGGGCCCAGCAACCTAAAGGAAGTGTAGTACCGCCGTTTGGCCACAACGAATATTCTCATCAGACTCTGGCGCACTTCCTGGGGGCTTGGGTCCCCCTGCCCGATCTGTACTGCGCATGTGCGAGATGGTCCGCCATATTGGACAACTCAGGACGGCAACCCAGGAAGGACACTTGACACAGTGGCTTTTGGCAAAGCTGAAAAATAAAACGAGAGATAGATGAGTTATTGTTATTACAACGTGACTTCACTATTATTTAACAACTCTTTTTATTGGGTTATTTTATTTGGGGTTAAGTACATTGTCAGAATAAGTGAGAAATGAATTTAACTTCTGTTAGACAGCTATCATACTGAATACATATTTACTGTGAATGTATGCAAAAATGTATGGCATATGGCTGTCTAACAGAAGTAAAATTCATTCCTCACTTATTCTGACAATGTACTTAACCCCAAATAAAATCACCCTCATAAAAGAGTTGTTGGGGCTGTCCTGCAGGAGGAGTGAATCCAGTTGAACTAGTGTTCATTTAGCTTTTGTCCAAAGCACCTTATGATAACCCTTGTAATCGCTGGTGCATTAGTCTCACTGAGTGATTGAGTTCAATCTTTTAAGTAATCCATTGTTTGTGTGTGCGTCTGTGTGTGTGTGGTTTCAAATCTGCCAAGATGTAAATACATAGAACTTGCAACCCAGTCTCACGGCATTTCGTGTTATAGTCACGACATTTAATCTATTGATTCTATTGGTAGTATGTTTCGTGCCTGCAGCACGTCTTTTTGTCCGGTCGGGTCTTGGAAGACCGGAAGTTATCATTGTGAGTTATCATACCATCAATGGGTCTTGCTCGTTCTTTTGCTTCCCGTCTGATGAAAGGACCAGGAGTGGCTGGATCAAGTTAACTACCTAGCTAGTAGCTAGCACGTTAGTTAGCATTACAGCCTTGTCATTTTTATTAGCCTTAACATGAAGTAACATTAAGTAACCCAAAATGTTAAACAGTAAGAGTAGTAGTCATATTTCGTGAACCCTTTGAAGAGTACTGTCACCGGTGTGATCATTCTATGATACACCATCTAAGCCCGGGGGAGAAATGCTAACGCTAGCATCGGCGATCGCCGATCTTTTCTGCTTCATGCTATCTGCACAAATGGTTGACATTAAACATTAAAAAGACCAGGCAGTTCAGAGAGAATCAAAGGAAGGCAGGCAGGCAGCTTTGCATGACATTCCTCTGGACGTGTTTCATTGTGGTGATAGTGAGGGTAGTCAATCGTTTTGTTGACAAGACAGTAGTGACGGCCATCTTGGTGACGTGTGTTTTTCTGCGAGACCAGAGATGTAGTTCATTGAGCGTTTCACACAAACAAATGTGTTACTTCACAGTTTTACGACACATTTTTTTGGATTTGCAAAATTATCTTTTAAATTGACAAACATCATGTGTAATTCGTGGCACAATTCAAACGGGATCGAAAGATAATCTTTCTCTCTCCATTGACTTCAATACATAATTTTTTCGAAATAAGGTCCCATGGACGTCCACCGGAAGGGGAGGGACTTCGCCACTCTATTGTGTTTCACAAAATGTTCTATGGGACGTCTCTACTGAACGTTTTCGTTTTCCCCACAATTAGAAGTTGCCAGTATTAAACACATTGGTGTTATCACATGTAAAACATATCATTAATAAATGGGTGAAAATCACTTGTGTCCATAATGCGCAGCATTAATATATACCCACATGACAGCTCATTGTTACTTTGTAATTCTACTCCACTACAATTCAGAGGTTAACCTGGTATTTTTACTCCACTACATTTATTTGAGTTACTTTGCAGATTCTGATTAATGATGTGAAATATAAACAACCCTTAAATCAGACTTTAGTTACACCTGAGTAAAATTCAGGGAAGGTGATTGTCAAGTGCCAACAATCAGGAGAGATATTTGATAGTTGGTGCTTGAGAAGACTAAACATTTATCTGCAATCGACATGAATGGAAACGAGTAATAAAGTATATTCATTACTCGTTATTCTCTACTAATAGTTAATTAAAGACTGTATAGTATGGCTATTTTGCACATCCCTTTCAAGATTTCAAGATTTTCAAAGGTTTATTGACATATCATATACACAACTACAGTGTAGTTGTGAGGATCTGCAGTACTTCCTCCTTCTTTTTCCACTGTCTGTGTTTGTTTTGTCTGTTTGTCTGTGTGTCTGTCTCCCTGGCTGGGCGTGGCTACCTACATTCCAATTCCCGCCAACTCACCTCCTCAGCTGCTGCTCATCTCACTGATTGCCACTACTCACCTGCACCTGCTTAAAACCCTGGTTCCCATCTTCAGACTTCGCCAGTTCTTCGTGTATTCTTCAGTGGTAAACTATCGTCCAGGCCTACTAGTGTTTTTCCTAGTGACTTTTTAATGCTCCTAGTGAAGGGAGATCATTTCCTAATCCTGCTTGTTTTTCCTGTTCCAGATCCACATACTCCAGCCGCTCTGCCTGCCACGTCCAGCCTCCCCTCCTGATCAGCCCAGCTCCACGTCTTCCCTCTACGTGTGCTTCGTCAACTCCTTGTCAGTGTCGTGGACAAAATAAAGCCTTTTTGACACTTCACCACAGTCTCAGTTGTAGTGCTTGCATAGTGGGTTCTCATCTCCAGTCACTTCTCGGGAAACCTAACAGTAGTTATGCAATTAATGAAAAACTTGGGTCACAGGTTCCTCAACAGTGCATTGCAAGACATCTATCAATATGTGTGTAACCTCCACCATTAAACTGTCAAATTCTGCACATTTCTTATTCTATCTACATACATAAGAGTATAATCCATATGTATAATATCAGTTAAAATAAGTGCTTCAACATAGTTAACATTGCAGGAAAGCAATATATTAGACGTTAAGTACTTTGTCAGGCTTACTATTTATCTTTTGATACCCCCAAAGTTTTTTTCTTATTTAAAAGAAGACCTTAATATAAAGTATTATTTAATGTTTAAATAAAGGTTAATTCGTTTTTCTGTTTTGCACCTCCTCCTATTAATATCTTTGTACATCCTGCACTAAACTGTTTTATTGTAGAGATCACTTACAGTATCTTCTTGATTTTTAATATTCTATATTTCTATCATTGACCTTCTACTTTTCCCCTATGAAAGTATGTACTCTTAATATTTTTTTCATCAAATATAACACATAAAAACAATAATTCAATAATGTGCTTTAACCACTAGGCGGTGCACACAAGGACACACAGCCATAATAACTTTGTATTATTAGTGTAGGACACTTATGTATGTATAACATCTGAAGATGTGTAGTTTTATTCATGCTTTCACATAATTTTACAGCATATTGCTATATTATTTCAGACTCAGTATTTACATTCTTATATTCAAAGAAAATCAGTAATATCTTTAAATACTACAAGTCCTTTTATATCAGCTCTGCACCGTTATGGTGTAAATATAACCTATCTACGAATTAGATCAAATGTAAAAGTCAGCCGAATTAGTGTTGATACTGCAAGGAGACATATTGTGTGAAGAGAAATTGAAAATGTTGTTTAATTGTTGATATATTTATGATCCACGTCAAGTATTCAGTTTCGGCGGCATTTCTTCCAGTTTTTCCAAAGGTCTTCTCATCAGGGCTCTATAAATAAAGAACTACGGCAGATCTGTAATATGTAATGCAGCCGAACCGTGTATTACAATGCCGTTATGTGATGACTTCCAAAGAGAAAAGCAAAAACACTCTGAATAAAGTATTATTTTCTTTAAAAAAAAAAAGTTTTTGGAATTCGATATGGCATGAACACCATATCCCTACATGCATTGCGGCTAAAACATCCAATCAGCGAGCTTAAACCATAGCTGAGGATCTTGGGTAATCAGTTCAGTGGGTGTGTATCGCAATGATGCTACGTCTGTTTCCGGTTATTTTTATTTTGAAATTCAGTTCCTGACGGACGCCAAAAAAGCCAGAGATTATGGAATTAAACAAATAAATAAAAACAAGGATAATTGTGTGTTATTGGTGAGTAAATAACAGTGTGTTATTTTGAAAAAAATAGCAAAGTAGAAGGAAAAAAAGATTTGAAAAAATACAGATTTCAGTATTCTGAGGCTCTGAGCCATTTATTTTCCTCACAGACGACAAAAAAAGTCCTACATTATACGATTTAAAATAAGAACAATAATCGTGGCTTGATATTGAGTAAGAACATGTTTTTATGAACCCCACAGCTTCCGTTCTTCCAAGACCCGAACGGACAAAAAGACGTGCTGTAGGCACGAAACATACTACCAATAGAAATACATTGCTTTTAAAATCGTTCTGTGTGACACGGAAAATAGGGGAAAATCGTGTTGGTGAACACGAATCAATAGATTAAATGTCGTGACTATAACACGAAATGCCGTGAGACTGGGTCATTACCATGACATTATTTTATAGTGTGTATGTGTGTGTAAGGAGTTCAGAAAAGGTCGAAACGCCTAGATAAGTATTTGTGAAAAACAATAAGCAGAGACACTTACAGTGCACACAGGATTTTGTAATTAAAGAAATCCATTTAATTGTTGTAGGAAAGAACAAGGGTCACTACAAATCTGTACAATCTGTAAAAAACAACACATTTCAAATAAAAAACAATGCAAGAAATGTATCTAAATATAGTTCACTGAAGTAGTCTGTGCTGTACAAATGTGGACACTTCCTGAAAAGGCTTTGGATTGTCTGTCCGGTCGTGGAGTCCCTGCTGGTTTGTAACGTTGTCTCACAGCTGCTGTCTCAGATCCTCTCCATCACGTCCTCTTGCAGCGCTGGGATCAGAGCCTGCAGCCATGACGGAGCGAGGGGTCTGCCCACTCACTGCTGCAACACACACATTAGATTTAAGAAACCTGAGCACACACTGCAGGAAACACTGCAGGAACACTGTTCTTTCCTACCTTTTTAAAACCTCTTACTTCTTCTTCCCTCCCATGGTCAAGTTCTCACTTTTCATTTTCTGCACCTGAAGGGAACATTACTTGTTATCAGCCACAGTCTGCACCAAGGACAAAGTCCATTCAGCCAAGCACTTCTAGAAATCCTCCAACCTCATTCATGGCGTCATCAATCTGTTTGAGTTCTTCATACCGGTCTCTTGACTCTCTGAGTGGCTGCACCATCGTCTCCTCAATCTGTGGGAACAGCTAGGACACACACACACACACACACACACACACACACACACACACACACACACACACACACACACACACACACACACACCACACACTACACACACACACACACAACACCACACACACACACCACACACACACACACACACACACACACACACCACACACACACACACACACACACACACACACACACACACACACACACACACACACACACACACACACACACAACACACACACACACACACACACAGACACACACACACACACCACACACACACACCACACACACACACACACACACACACACACACACACACACACACACACACACACACACACACACACACAGAGCTGTAAGTGCCACTATCTTCACTGCACTCACTTCATTACTTAGGTTTTATATAACTAACTGTCCCTTTGAAGCAGCGGCGTGTCGGTCTGTTTAATCGTCATCATATCAACTTGCGAAAATATTGGTCTGATTTTAAAGTGCAGTTTTTTTAATCTGGTACTCTTTCTACTACATACCTATCATTCTTGTGTTTTAGGTGTATTTTGTTTGTTGGAAATATTTCCTCATTCTGATAATTCAACAATCGATTTGCTGTATTTTGGCAGCGGCAGAACAGAGTAAGTTCTGTGAGTGCACAGGTTAAATCGTTGCCATATTCAACATGATTGCAATCTTCCTCATTTGTTGCAGCCCAAGTGACGTGTTAGTTTGAGAAACAGTTTCAAGTCCTGCCTTCCTTCTGAGAGGACTGCTGCCAGGAGATGTCGTCCTGTCTGAAGTCCTTCTCCGCTCCCTCTAAAACAACTCTCCCTTTACTGAAACTCAAGTATCCTCGCCATTTTGCAGCTATGTCCGTAATACATGTGTACAATGAAACACTGTTTCTGTGCAATTTCTGCTTAATTTAATATATTCCGAACAAATGGCAGTGTGTATAATTGACGTGATTTCTGACATTGGTGAATTAAGTATTAGGTCAAATGAATACCAATAATATTCAATTTAAAGTAAGTCCTGATTACTCGAGAGTAAATGTACTTAGTTACTTACAAACACTGATTTTAGACGCATGCTTGGCTTTTAGTCCATTGTGAACAAAGCATGAGACTCTGAAGCACACCGGGTCCTCTCAGAAAGTGACTGACGAGAAGCTTTAGTCGGCATAAGGCCACATCTAGCCAACAGGAAGTGGGCCAATGCATCGGTGTTATCCCCTCGCACAGTGGCGTTTTTATATGTACAAAAGTGGTGGGGCACACAAAACTTAGATGTCTATATATAAGCTTCTGCAGTGACGTGCAGTGAGGTTCATGGCTGGTGAGGCTCTGACTCTTCAGGTTTACAAATATTATATTTTGACCTAAATCAAAATATCATATTATTTTCAAAAGCTTTTTTTGTCTGATGCTTCAATTAATTTTAAACAGACAGTTCAACAAAAGGATACCCAAAAAATGTAATTGTATCATTTAAATATTGAATTGTTCTCTCTTAGTAAGATCCCATTTTCAATCAAATTGCAGTCTTACCTTGACTTGAAGATGAAGTCCATTTGCCTATCCTTCTGGACAAAAATCTATATTACTTTTTTGTAAAAGTCCTCCTTATGTTCTTGTAGTTTCAAAAGTCTATCATAAATCTAATCTAATCAATAGATTTATGATTCAAAAATTATAAAAGTAGGGTAGACATGTGGATATTATCCGGCTGAACAAAACGTGCATTTATCTAACAGGTTTGTTTCCCACAGATCTTATTTGGAGCTATTTTCTAAAATCCTATGGAGAAATCTCATTGCTTTTTTGTGGAGGGAAGCCATGCGCAGTTTATTTCCGGGTTTTAGGACGCGTCTCTCTCCTCCTCTTCACACACCACACTTTTCGCGGCACACGTACTTACAGCCAATCAGCTCTGAATTATGTGAGATGACGTATGATGGGGATGGCAGCACTATGCACCTATGGTCATTATTTTTTTGCCACACACATTAAATAGGACAATACTCTGAGCATGCGCAGTGTAGTTTTTACAGTCACCATTGACTTAAACAGGGAGAGGGAGGGGCAGGATCGGGTTTTGTCCCACATGGCTCTAAACAGCTCAATAGGCACACACTGTAGACACTAATTAGAAGAACACAGACTAAAACAGCAACGTACAGACGAATCAGATGATTAAACATGATCTTAAAATATATTTTATATATTTTTTAATTTATTTTTTGCATTTTTTTGTAATCATTACTTTTAATACTTTCTGCTGACACTAGGTGGGGCTGTGCCCCACCTGCCCCTAATGACCAGTCGCCACTGCCCTCGCAACAAAACCTGACCTCGGCCTCTTGAAGCAAACCTTAACCCCCATTTCAGGACCATTCAGCAACTGACTTGAATTAGAACTAAACTTGTAGAAGAAGTGCATTAATGTCCCCTGATGCACATTTTCCAATAAATGTAATTGACAATGGTTGGCAACATTCGTGCGGTAAAGAACAGGTTGTATGATGTGGATTTTCTCTGGAATGACATGCATAAGGTTAGCAGAGCCACTGACCCCAGTCTGACTCATTATTAACCGGAAATAAACAGAACTTGTAATATTTTGTGCGTGTTTAGTAGAAGAAAGCACCACACTTATAAGTCGTCACAGAACATGAACCGAGCAGATGTATGTGATATTAATTATTCACCATAAATGCTTTGAATAAGTAGGCACTTGTTGCTACCACAATGATAGCAAACGGGTTGTCATTCAATAAAATAATAATAATAACACACGTCTGGTTAATGTGGTGCTACATTTAAATATGTGTGTGTGATCGTGTTCTAGCCACTGCGATTTTGCAGTTACCGAACACCTCTCTGCTCTCGCCCTGAACTCTTGTTGCTCTGTGACTCCGCCTCCGATGGGAGCCTCCGACCTTCTTGGGGCTGCTGCAGTGGAAACCGGTGGGAAAAGGGGTACCAGTGGCACCCCGGTTGGCAGCTCTGTTACTTTGCCCTTCATCCTCATTGTCCTGCACACTCACCTTCATCACTGTCTCAAACATGGGGATGAGCACGAACTTGATGAAACCAATCTGAGCCGTGGGCTTGGTGACCTTCTCTCTGTCCATGAACGGAGCCACAGGAAGCCCTTCAGCCTTCTCCCTGTCACTCTGAGAAACACACAAACACACACACACACACACACACACACACACACACACACACACACACACACACACACACACACACACACACACACACACACACACACACACACGGTTTTCAAGGATAGGACTGCCTTTAGCAATGCATGACGCTACACATGACACATCAGACAATCAGACACTGTCATGGCTAACATGATGGAGTCTGGTCACAGCAACATAAGAAAATCTACTGTGTTCTGTGTGTGAAGGACCCACCTGCATGAAGTACTCCTCCAGCAGGCAGTCCACCCAGGGCTCAGCCACCTCCATGGGTCGCACCTCGTTGGAGATGTCACAGCACTTTATGAGCACCATCTTCAGCTGCACACAGCCGGGTCAGATGGCAAAGGTCAACATCATGAGAGATTTAATGGGAGCATGCAAAGCATAGATCATTTTTACGATGAGATTACATGCTATTTACATTAAATACAATTTCTTTGTCTCAACTTTTTAATTGATTGATTCTCCTCCGACAGGACCAACTTTCATGATGGCTAAACTCTGACGCTCATTCTACTGCTGACCGCTTCATTCAGTATTAAAGTTATAAATTAATATGACTATATTCATAGAATATTAAAGGGGACCTATCATGCAAAATGCACTTTTGTACGTCTTTTATACATGAATATGTGTCCCCGGTGTGTCAGAAAACACAACCCTCTCTCTTTTCCTCCATACCCAAATCTCTAAAAATGGGGCTGCGGGGGTCACGTGATGGCGGCGAGGTGAACACACGTTTTGGCTGGAGCTCCGTGCCACTCGGTTCTAATTATGCTATTATCCTGTTATTAACCGTGTTTTGGAAGCCACTTTTCGTATGAGCATTTCAGGCTATGTCCTTGGAAAGTTTTTGGTCTTTTGACAAAATGGGAAGAACTCAAAGGAATAGAGACAAGAAAGACACCGCTGAATCTAAGCCTGGTGAATGCACGCAAGATGGCGACCATGCCGAATCTGTTATCTCTGACGCTCAATGCGTGAGTGTTGGCAGCCCTTGCCAAAGCCAGGGCTGCCAACACTCACGCATTGAGCATGAGAGTCACGCAATTAACCCATATCTCACGCACTCACGCCACACTTGCCTTTCCTCACGCTAAGTTTTCGTCCAAAATAAATGTATATAAATATAAAAATAAAGTGAAGGAACAGCAAACCGAGCGGTCTACGAAATGAGACGGTCTTCTGGCTTAGTTCAGTAAAGTTGGAACGATATTGGGAGATTCTGATTTCACGGATCAATAACTCATGAACGTTATTCAGACACAAAGTACGTCTCCTAAGTACCGTGGTAAGGTTGACAACTAACTACAATCACATTTTGATAAAAAAAAGCCAATACGCGCCGTCCTCCGAGCTGGACACATTACATTGGTCTCTATCCGCAGCCGGAGAAGAAACGAGTGCTCAGGGACCGTCTGCAAAGTGCAACTCCCAAAAAAGAGAACACAATAATATGCAATCACTATTACAGCTTATTACCAAACTCACTACACACATCAATAGTCTTCTTTGTGTCATACTACAGCAGAGAGTTTTGAAGAATATGCTTTTGAATAATTTTGGGGAATATTTATAATGTAAAATCTTCAATAAATATGGCATCATCTTCAATAACTTTACTATTATACAGTTTATTTCTACCAAACTCACTATTTGCATTGTTGTTGTTAGCATCTGGTTAGCTAGCTGCGCTAACGGATATTAAAAGCTGTTTCTAAAACAATGAGAGGGAGAGCTCTGTCCTGTCAGACTGAGAGATAACTACAGCTCAGTGAGGTAAGGGACTCTCTGTTAATATAGTTAACTTTAGTCTAGTTATCTCAGTGGGTCTCAAACGTTTTGGTCACCATTTATGAAATACTATATGACAGTAAAACAAGAATACAGTTTAAAAGGTGAGTGATTTGTAAAATATCCATAAAGAAAAAGAAAATCTGTTTACCATAAATTATTTTTGCTCTCAAAGTGCACCAGGTTGATGCATTTAACTTCAATATTAAAAAAAAAAAAAAATCTTCCTGGGGGAGCATGCCCCCGGACCCCCCCACACTTATAAAATAGCACTTTACCTCTGCTTACACCTATATGCCATTTTATATGCTGTGAGCTGATTATCGAGCCTTCATTGTAAGAGTTGCGGGTAGGCTACACTGTGTATGTGCGTATTCCACTGTAGCGCCCGGTACATTATGGGAAACCCTAGTTTGTACATGTTCAATACATTTGTAACACTGTACACATGAACGTTTATTTTTTCCGCTCACCAAAAAAAAATCTCACTCCAAGCTGAACTCAAATGTTGGCAGCCCTGCCAAAGCCCTAAACTTCATGACTGCTAACATCATAAAAGTAATCGATGATAAACTCAGCCCGCTGGTCGAGACTATTCATAACCACTCTGTGGAGCTCCAGTCTGCTAACAGGCGGCTAGATGAGGCAGAGACCAGGATCATGGCCGTGGAAAACTCCGCCACAGCGCAAGAGCCGAGGATAGCCGAATTAGAGAAGCAGGTCAGTGCTCTAGCAGAGAGTTTAGATATGGCTGAAAACTACAACAGGCGTCTGAATATTCGGGTCGTCGGCTTGGCTGAGGGCACAGAGACGGGGCAACCGGTGGATTTCTTTGAATCGTGGTTGCCACTCACCCTTGGCATGGCTACCAAAGCGGGGCGCATAAAACTGGAAAGAGCACACCGCTCGTTAGCTCCCAGACCGAACAAGGCGTGTGGTGCAGTGGATAGAGCCTTGGTCTGGAGAACAGATGGTCACAGGATCAAACCCCACTACAGTCAACATGTCGTTGTGTCCCTGAGACACTTCACCCCAAATTGCTCCTGTGGGGATTGTCCACAGTATTGAGTATGTAAGTCGCTTTGGATAAAAGCATCTAACAAGTAACATGTCATGTACCCCCGGTCGGTGTTGCTGCGACTTCATACATTCAGAGACAAGCAGAAAGTGATGGAGCCAGTCAAGACGGCGCCCTTACACACAATGGATCCAGGCTCTCTTTCTACAGCGACTTCTCTCCGGTGGTGATGAGGAAACGCAAGGCGTATGATGCGGTGAAACAGCGGCTGCGGGAGAGAGGAATACCGTATGCTATGCTCTTCCCGGCTACTCTACAGGTGTCCCACGGAGGCTCCAAGAAGAGGTTTTCTTCCCCGGAGCTAGTACGCGATTTCCTGGACTCCCTGTCTGGATAATAATCTCCTGCAGCACGGATCACCAGGTTGTCTTGGTGAACCTTTATTGTTTTGATTATAGCCCATGCTATTCTCCTTTTCATACAGACTGGTCCTGTTTTTATAACACGGCAAAGACTTAAAACTTTACACTCTTCATAGTCCGAGTGGCGCGGTTGCCCACATGTGAGTATTACTTTTATATTGTATAGGGATTACTCCCGTACGGGGTGCTTTTTTTTCTTACAAATGTTTACTCTTATCCACTGCCATTTCGCTCTTTGTGGTGCGATTGAGAGTTACTGGTTTGGTGAACAGTCCCTGTTATTTTGGGGAAATGCCCTCAACTTGTATTTGTGTTGTTTACAGTTGTTATGCTTGTTTTGTTCAGTGTTGTTGTCTTGCTCAGGACATGCATGTCTCAGGTTTGAGTTGCGTATAATTACGACTGTATTAGTCACTTGATGCTGCTATTAGAGGAGGTGGGGGCTGTGCCCTGGGATTGGGCTGGTTATTATTTCATTAACAGGACCAATACAATGTATCATGACTATGTCTAATTTAAATACCATAAAGCTCTGTTCTTGGAATTTCCGTGGTCTCCAGAAGCCTGCCAAGAGGATGGCAGTATTGTCATATTTGAAAAAGGAGGATGTTTCTATTGCTTTCCTTCAGGAGACTCACTTGGAAGACAAAGACATTGCAAAATTACAGAAGAGCTGGGTGGGGCAGGTTTTTGCAGCGTCATACTCATCATGTAGTAGGGGTGTGGCCATTCTGGTTAGTAAAAAGCTTGCCTTTAGGTCCCTTGACTGTGTTAAAGACAGTCAGGGTCGCTATGCGATTGTCAAAGCAGTACTCTCTGGTAAGGCTATAACACTTATGAATCTCTATTGCCCTCCTGCTTATCCCACTGATTGTCTGTCCAAGGCCTTTGCAGAGTTTACAGAACTTCGTGGGAGGTGATTTTAACTGCCATCTTAATCCCTCTCTGGATAAATTTCCACCAGGCATCAATCCCCCTTCAAAGCAAGCTAGGGTGCTCAATTCTATATGTAATGACATTGGGTATTCAGACGTATGGAGGGAGCTTCATTCCACTGACTCAGAGTTGACTTTTTTTTCTGCCCCTCATAAAAGCCACACTCGAATTGATTACCTTTTTATTCCATGTTCAAAAATGTTCTTGGTTCTGTCATGTTCTGTCATAGGTAGCATTATCCTTTCTGACCACGCACCCCTATATATGGTGTATTCTCTTTCTGAGGAAAGGGCATTGTCAAGGCGCTGGAGACTTCAATCATCTCTTCTAAAGGATGATCATTTCATTTCCTATTTTATGTCAGAATTCAAGGTGTTCTATTCAATTAACTCATCATCTACTAATCCCTCTATCCTGTGGGAAACTTGTAAAGCATACTCTCGGGGCTTGATTGTGTCTTTTGTAGCTTCTAAGAGACGCAGAAAGATTGAACAACATAAGCTACTTGAATCTACGTTATCTTGGAGAAACTTGGAGAAACGCTACATATCAAGCCCAGGCCCAGTCCTGCTTCAGGAATTGTCAGCCACACGTGCTGCTTTAAATACTTTACTGATTCAGGATTCTGAGCGTTCCCTTACATTTTCCAGACAGAAGCTGTATGAGTTTGGTGATAAACCTGGTAGATATCTTGCCAATCTTGTTAAAAAGAGGGCTGACTCTCAAATTATAGTTTCTATTACGGATGCCAACAATGCCAGATCATTTGATGCCAAAACTCTAAATAAAGAGTTTGAATTATTTTATTCCAATTTATACAAGTCGGAACAGCCGGACAATGCCCTAGCCCTAATGTGCTCATTTTTCTCTGATCTGACACTCCCTAAAGCTTCAGAGGCTCAACAATTGCAGCTCAATGCCCCAATCACAAAGGAGGAGGCATTGTTTGCTCTGAAATGTATGCCATCGGGGAAAGCTCCAGGGCCAGATGGGTTTGGGTTTGAAAATATTCTCCTGGATCCCCTCCTAGCTATGTTGAATCATTCATTTGAAAACGGGATTCTACCTCAATCACTTAGGGAGGCCAATATCTCTCTTATCCTTAAGAAAGGAAAGAGCCCTGATAAATGTGCCTCTTACAGGCCGAT